ACCCGCACGTGGTATTTTGTGGAAGAGCCACACTCAAGGGGCCAAAGAGCCGCATGTGGCTCGCGAGCCGCAGTTTGCCGACCACTGCACTAGGAGAAGTAACTTATGTAAATGTGGAAGCTTGCTAAGCAGGCTCTGTCAGATTGTAGACACCATACCTGATGCTGGACCTTGAAGCCCACAGGGCAGGCATTCAGGAGGGAAGATCTGAAGCAGGCTCAAACCCACAGGCTCTAACTGGCACCCCACGAGTATGGACTGATGCCACAGTCCATTCTTATCACCTATGGCCTTGGTGAACAGGTCATTCTGCAGAAGCCAGGGCCCTTTGTCACAGAACTAAACACACACCTGGCCCAGGAGTCAGAGAAGCTGACAGGATCCAAGGGAATGTAGAGTGATGCAGGCGTGGCTGGGCTTCACACCAACAAGGTGCATCAGCAGCTCAACAACACTGTAGGAGCTACACAATGACTGTGCTTCCCTTTGTCCTGCATCTCTCTCAAAAATCTCCCTCATGGCCTGCCTTAACCACAAACATACAAGAAAGAGAATTCTGAGAAATGTAATTCAGCCTATTCAAGTTGACACATTACAAAGCCATCACATTCTTTACTGTTTATGTGTCTTTCAGATCCTTTCATTCTTGAGTCAGCTTTAGTAAATTATATTTTCCCCTAGGAAATCATCCATTCTCCAATTTTTAAAAAATTATTGGGATAAAGTCATTCACAGTATTTTTAGTAATTTCTGCTAGAGCTTGTTATATCCTTTTTTGGTTATTAGTATTATCTTCTTATACGGTTTCTAATTTCATTGCATTATGATCAGAGAATATAGTATCTTTGTTACTGATTGCTTGATATTTGAGATATTTTTAGTGGTCTAATACAGTGATTTTCAACTGGCATGCTGCAAGAATTTTTAAAACATGCAATACCTGGTCATTCAGTCAGGGGCACTGATCTCTTTTCCCTTATGTTATCAAATAAAAAAATGACAACAGCCAACACAATAACAGCCATCCGGTGTGAATGATTCAAAATTATACCTATTTTTTTGTCAGATTGGCAAAAATATAGTTTTTGGTGTGTCGCAGAATTTTAGTAATTAGTTTATGTGTGCCATGAGATGAAAAAGATTGAAAATCACTGGTCTAATACATGATCAATTTTTATACACATATAGACACACACATAATCAGGTGGATTAATTGTGTTGTCCAATCTTCTATATACTAATTTATTTACATGATCCATTACTGATAGGTATATTCAAAATCTCTATTTCTTCTAATAGTTATGTCAATTTTTGCATTATAAATTTTAAAGCTCTTTTATTATATGCATGTTTATAATTATTATATCTTCCTGGTGAATCACTCCTTTTAGCATTCAGTAATGACCTTTTTTATGCCTAATGATATTCTTTGCCTTAAAGTCTATCCTGTCTAATGTTAACATTGCTATGATTTTAATTATGCTTTTTTTCCTTCTCCATAGGGTTTTCTTTTACTTTCCTACCAGCTCAGTTATACATTTAAAAATATATTTGTTATATTTTATCCATTATTTTGGTGTATATAGCAGGCAGTGTTGTAGGGAATATATCTACCCTGGCATATTGATAGATCTAGAAGTTCTCAAACTTAGAGAAAAATTAAAATACATTTGCCTTTAAACAGAAATCTCTTATTGTGTTTGATATGCCATCAGAATAGCAGAATAAATTGCACAATGTATGCACACAAGGCCTCATATTACCAATGAAGGTGTTAAACCATATTCAAGGCAGGGCTCAAACTGAAAGTATTCACTTTGTATCTCCAACGAACAACAAAATAATATGTTTTCAAATAATACATTCCCACAGCTTACCCCGAGAATCTGATACAGCCCCCAACCCTGAAGGGTGGTTCCCCAACAATTAAGAATTACTGGTTTATGGTATCACCAAAGAAGATTACAGTTGAAAGCTGGAAATATTTTATTACATTAGTAGTTCAGTATTCCTCCTCCTATTCCTGGGCCACTTACAGATGGTGTAGTTTTTTTCCGTGTTCTATAGGTTTCTTTCTTTTAGTATGTTTCTAAACTGCTCCGGTCTCCTGGTAGGTGGACATCAAAGAGACCAACACTAGGCTCAAAATCAGTTTCTATCTAGAAATGTGTGATTCCTACCACTGGAGCTGACATTTAACCTAGTCTTAACAAAATAGCTTACTAGGTACTTCTAATACCCACATTACACATCTGCTCATGGCAGAAATTGGGGTCTACTTCTTTCTACTACTGGTACTGCAAAAGATTGTATTCGTGACTATGTTCATAAGGAGGGAAAGCTCTACTTCTTATTAAGCAAGTTGGGTGTTTGATCTGCTCAAGTTGTCAAGTTGGTGTATCACATAGAAAGCTTTTAAAAACTCATTAAAGTCGATGCTTCCATCTTTGTTCAAGTCCATTCTTTCAGCAAGCTCATCAACTTGGGAATCACCAATATGAAGGTTGTAGTGACTACAAAAAAGTTTCCACATGGAATGAAATTCTTCCATCGAGATAAGACCTAAAAGAATATAGGAGAAGGCTGTGAGTGTTCATTTTAAGACCCACCGAAGGGAGGGGTGTATGGTAGCCATACAGATCAAATAGTCCCAATTTGAAGTTCACTAACATGCAGAGGGAAAAGATATGCTGGGATTCAATAAGAGCATTGCAAATAATGGCCCTGTCATTTTTTATAGGCCATAATTTACTTTTGTGTTTTGACCATTAATTTTTTGGTGTTCAATAATCTCTGTAGTTAAGGATTATTGGATGATTTTTTAAAGTTTGAAAATATGGGTGGTGGGCACATGATGTAATATACAGATGATGTATCATAAAATTGTACACTTTAAACCTATATAATTTTATTAACCAATGTCACCCTAAATTAATTTAATGAAAAAATAAGTATTTCTGCAAGCAAAAAAAGTTTGAAAATAAGTAATTGGGCATCAAAGCTAAGCAGAAAATGAGTTTCCATAGCCCTCAGTCCCAAAAATAGAATCAGAACTCTAGGAATGATTTTTATTGCCAGGAATAACTATGATGTTTAAATGGACAGTGAATTATCTTTTCATCTGTGCTGGTGACTTATAAAAGGAGCTATTCTTGTCTGACTAATGGATACATAGGCCTATATAGGACTATATAGTCTTGAATACAGTCTGTAGCCAAACTAAAATATCAATAGCATTAAAGGTGAGTTCTCCCCTACCCAAAGTTAAATCAAGTTTGGATAAAGTATGCAATAGATGAAAGCAGAGTTCTGTTTTCAGAGAAACAAACTAACCTTTACTCACTGCTAGTGAACTAATCAAAGTTCCTTTACCTGAGTGATCAGAGTCAATGACATTAAAAATGATTTGCAGGTCAGATCGGTATCTGTACAGAGTTTCAATGAGAGCTGACTGAGCCTAAAATAAAGATTTTCTAAGTGTTAAAACATAGAATTAATAACAGATCAATTTTAGTAAACATAACAAGCATAAAACACCATCACCAATTCAAAGTAGGGGATTTAGATAGCTATTTGAAAAGGCAAGCCTTCCTTGGAGGCCCAACCCTCTTTAATCAGATAGAATACCATGCTCTTCGGGTCTGCCGTCTGCACTCCCCAAGGGACAGGGCCAAAGTAAATCAGGAAGCAGTAAATAACAATAGCCAACATTTATTGAGAATACCTTGTGGTGTGCCAGGCTCTGCCCTGAGAGTTTTTCTGTGGGTTGTTTCATTCAGTCCTTAACACAGCCTCAAGGAACAGAACTACTATTATGTCCATTTTACAGATTAAAGAACAGAAAGGTAAAGTAAGTTTCCCAAGGTTCATATAGCTGGTAGGTGGGATTTGAATCGCAGCTGCCTGAAACCAAGGCCTATGAGCTCAGTCACCATGGTAAACTGCCTCGTAAGTGAGGCCCAAAGTCTCCTTCCTGTGGGTATTTGAGGCTCCCACCTGCACTTTTACTTCCTCTCTCTTCTCTTAACCTCTCACCTCCCCTGCAATCACTCCAGTCTTAGTTCCCACCAGCTCACTTTCAGCCCAATGTTATAACTAATTGCTGATGAGTCATTAATTAATAAGTATGGGAGGGGAGGGTCTGACAGCTCTTCCTGAGGTATTTCCATTTTAATAAAGGATTCTAAACTTTAAAAGTCCTTAAGGTGCTTAGCTAGCATGGCCCAGTGGTTGAGCATCAACTTATGAACCAGGAGGTCACAGTTCGATTCCCGGTCAGGGCACATGCTCTGGCTGTGGGCTCCATCCCCAGTGGTGGGCATGCAGGAAGCAGCCAATCAATGATTCTCTCTCATCGTTGATGTTTCTATCTCTCTGTTCCTCTCCCTTCCTCTCCGAAATCAATAAAAATATATTTTTAAAAAGTCCTTAAGGTATAAGATGTCATGTCAGTAAGACTATACACTCACAGTTTAATAGGGAATATGCTGAGTATTTTAAAGGGAGTGTAATATGAAAGACTGGATGTCATATCTGTGCTTCTGCAGGACAGCACTTAAGAGAGGAATTACACATTTGACATGATTTGCTTGCAGAAGCTTTTTCTCTTTTTTGCTTATCATTAGAATGCACCCATTTCCTGAATAGACCGCAATGCACCTGCGAGTTCCCTCTTAGGCCTTTCCTAAGATTGCCACTCACATCCATTAGATGATTCCACTCCCAACTTTTCAAAGGACCAAGTTACGCTTACAGGTTGCCCAAAGGGTGTTTATAACCAGGTTTTAGCCAGGGCTGTCTTTCACTTGCCTCTTTCACAGGTTTTTGAATGTGAATATCGTGGAAGCAGGTCATGTAGTCAATATTCCCATCGTCGTCTGTGAGAACCAGATGTGAACTCAGGGTTCTCCATGGTAAGTTCAGCCCCAAGGTGTTTTCCATAGAAAAAGCCCATTGTCCCATAGAAATTTTTCCTAACAATAACAACCAAAAAGAAAAGAAAAAAGCCTATTAATTGGTTGATAATTTGATTTTAAAAAATGCAACCTCCTCAGGGGAGCCAGTGGGAAGCCTGGGGTTTCAATGCCTGGGTGCCTCCTACTCCCCTTTCCAGTTTGTCCTACCAGGCCCCACGGCTCCAAGGGAGGAACTAAAGAAAGTCTTTGGTATTCCACAGCGCTTTCCCTTACTGTTATGTGTAAGTAGTCAGACCTTGGGTGTTAGCTGTCTTTTTCTGATTAACAAAATAAAGTATTTTATAATAGAAGATTTGAAAATGCAAAAGGATATAAAGAAAAAGTTATATAAAGGACAAAAGATTACTTTTATTTTTAACATTTTTGGCATATTATTCACTTTTCATTTTTCCAGATTAAATACCCTTTAATCCCCTAATATGATATGTAGTTTTTCAAAATATAAATCTTTATTTTCCCTGATTATTAAAGACATGCTTATTTGAAATGCTTTTGAATAAACAGAAAATAAAACAATATCCACAATTTATATGTCCATTCTACTGTTGGTAGACACCTGATTATCTCCAATTTGGGGCAATCACAAATAGTGCTGCTAAGAACATTTCCATACATGCCCCTTTGGTGCACTGAACCTATAGCTCAATTTGGGGAGAATTTGTATCTTGACAACATTGACCCTTGAACATAGTAATATCTACCCATTTATTTCAATTCTTTTTCATTTCTTTTAATACTATTTTAGAAGTCTCATACATCAATTATTTGGTTTCTTCCCTGGTACTTGTCTATTATAAATGATATATTTTAAGGTTTTATTATCTATAAGTTTATTGCTAGCTACACTAATTATCAGTTTATTACCACTCAGCTCCAAATGTACCCTTCCTTGCCCTGTTTTGTGATATTGGAGCTGATTCCTGTAAACATTTCCTTTTTTTGGCAGCTGGTATAATGTTAGGCTTTGTCAGCAGAGGGTACAGGAAGAATACTCTAAGACATGGCAGAAGAAATGGTTCTTGTATGCTTGACTCACTAGTAAATTTCACTGACACCACAGTGGTGCCTCCCTTGCCAGCAGTGTGTGGGAGACACAGGGTGCACACCTCAAAGAGAGTTTTGCTGGTATTACAGTGGGTGGCTTCATCCTCTCCAGCCCTGTCCCTCTAGCTGCAGACCAACTCTGACCTGAGACATCTCAGTGAACTTCTCCCTGCAGTGGGCCACAGTCACACCCTCCCTGATGAGGTCTGAATCTTAGCCTTGGTTGGGAGTAGGAGACTCTTCCAAGTTTGTTCCTTCCCTGGGTACCCTCTCTCAGCCTTAGAGATACTAACTGTTCCCTACACTTCCTATTCCTATATTCTTTTACCTCTTTTAGTAATTAATTATTTTTTTACTAGTTAATAATTCTTTATACTAAGTTTCAGTGTTCAAAACAGTGATGTGGTTTCTATCTCCTGAATAGGCTCTGACTAATACATAGTGATATTGTATTTTTTCCTTTCTAATTCTTATGGTTTTAACTTGCCTTATTTCACTGGCTAACATCCCTAGTAAAATGTTGAACAGTCTTGAGAGTAGGCATCTGTATTAGTTTCCTACTGCTGTTATAACAAATTACCACAGACTTAGTGGCTTAAGATAATACAAATTTATACTCTTAGATTTCTGGAATTTCGAAGTCCAAAATCAGTTTCACAAGAAAGGAGATGCAGCCTAGAGATTTATCATACTTACTGTGAGGCTGGTAAATGCACTACAATTCTGCATCCTCTAGATTCTAGCTATTTCTTAACAGGCAGGCCTTCCAGAGTGTCTAGTCTGACATATTACCAAAATAGAATTTAAATTCAGGATTGTTGTTTGAAAGAAGCTTACTGAAAAGGAGGACTACGCCTTTTTCCAAGCATATAGTGAATTATATTTTATTTTATCTCTATCATTCCTCCCTATTAAAAATAGAGAACCGAGATCTTAGGAAAGCAAAGAAAATGAAAACAGATCTGCATTTAACCTGGCATGTTAAGAAATGGTAAGCATTGTATAATTTTATTACCTGATTTAGTTCGGTCTTGAAGTTGGAAACTACGAATGAGATCTGTTTTTCGTGAAACCATTCTCTCTTTCAGTATCCTGATGGCACTACTTTCTATGGTGTTCACTCTATGTTAAGAAAACAATTATTAGGTGAAAATTACATAAATCATCATGTTCTGTTTCATTTTAATGCACTATGTTACTCACCAGTTTCTGCTTTTAAAAAAAGTTTTAATTGATTTCAGAGAGAGGAAAGCAGAAGAAGAGAGATAGAAACATCAATGATGAGAGAAAATCATTGATCGGCTGCCTCATGCACACTCCACACTGTGGATCGAGCCCACAACCTGGGTGTGTCCTGACTAGGAATCAAACCATAACCTCCTGGTTCATAGGTCAATGCTCAACCCCTGAGCCACAACAGCTGGGCAATAAAAACATATTTTTTTTCAAAATTATCCTGCTATATTTGGTCAAACATTTAATTAATCCACCCCTAATGCCTTGGCAGGCCCAGACCATAGGATTTTGTGGGCCGTATAAGGTCTGCAGGCCAGAAGTACCTCACCCCTGTTATATACCATATTAATAGAATAAAGGACAAAAAACACATGATCATCTCAATAGATGCAGAAAACATATTTGACAAAATCCAATATTCTTTCATGATAAAAACACTCCACAAACTAGTAATAGAGGGGAACTTCTTCAACTTGATAAGGGGCACCTATAAAAAACAACACAGCTAATATACTTAATGATAAAAGACTGAATGGTGTCCCTGTTAAGATTGGGAACAAGATAAAATATCTGCTTTCACCACTTCTATTCAACATTGGTGTGGAGGTTCTAGCCAGGGCAATTAAGCAAGAAAAAGAAGTAAAGGCATCCAGATTGGAAGACAAGAAGTAAAACTATCTCCATTCACAGATAATATGATCTTGTATATAGAATATCCTAAGGAATCCACTAAAAACTAACAGAACGAATGTAGAAGTTCATCAATATTGCACAAAACACACAAAAAATAAATTGTATTTCAATACACTAAAAATGAACCATTCAAAAATGTAATTAAGAAAATAAATCCAGCTTCTGCACAGCGAAAGAAATAAGCATCAAAATGAAAAGAGAGCCCACTGCATGGGAGAACATATTTGACAATGATACATCTAATAATGGGTTAATTTCCAAAATATATAAAGTACTCACACAACTCAACAAAAGGAAGACAAACAACCCAATCAAAAAATGGGCAGAAGATCTAAACAGACACTTCTCCAAAGCAGACATACAAATGGCATATGGAAAAATGAGACATATGGAAAAATGCTCAATGTCACTAGTCATTAAAGAGATGCAAATTAAAACAATAATGAGGTACCACTTTACACCTGCCAGGATGGTTACCATCAAATAAATCAACAAACACGTGCTGGTGGGAATATGGAGAAAAGAGAACCCTAGTACACTGCTGGTGATAATGCAGATTGGTACAACCACTATGGAGTGGAAAACATTATAGAGCTTCCTCAAAAAATTAAAAATGGTACTGCCATTTGACCCAATGATCCCACTTCTAGGAATATATCTTAAGAAATCCAAAACATCAATCAGAAAGAACATATGCACCCCTATGTTCATAGCAGCATTATTTACAATAGCTAAGATCTGGAAACAGCCCAAGTGCCCATCAGTAGATGAGTGGATAAAAAAATTGTGGTACATTTACACAATGGAATACTATGCAGCAGTAAAAAAAAAAGGATCTCTTACCCTTTGAGACAGCATGGAGGGACCTGGAGAGTATCATGCTAAGTGAAATAAGTCAGTCAGAGAAAGATAAGTATCACATGAGCTCACTTACATGTGGAATCTAATGAACAAAATAAACTGACAAACAAAATAGATCCAGAGACATGGAAGCATGCAAAATACTGAGGATCCTTAGAAGGAAGTGGGGAGGGAAGAGAGCAATCAAAGAACTTATATGCATATATGCATAACCTATGGACACAGGCAATAGTGTTATGAAAGCCTAGGGAGGAGAAAGGAGTGGGAAGGAAGGGAGGGTCAACGGGGGGGGGGGGCACCTGTAATACTTTCAACAATAAAGATAGATTTTTTAAAAATAAAAGAACTTCACTTTTTAGTACCAAAAAGAATAAAATACTTATAAATGAATTTAACAAAAGACGTCTAAGACTTGTACACTGAAAAGCACAACACTGTTTAAGGAAATGAAAGAAGGTCTCAATAAATAGAATAATATGGGTTGGAAGACTTAATATTGTTAAGCTGGCAACAGTCACAAAATTGATCTATAGATTCAAAATAATCCCTATCAAAATCCCAGTTGGCATTTTTTGCAGAAGTTGAGACGCTGATTCTAAAATTCATAGACAAATGTCAGGGACACAGAAAAACCAAAACTATCTCAAAAAAGAAGAACCGGGTTCAACTCACATTTCCGTTTCAAAATTTACCACAAAGGTATAGTGATCAGGACAGTGTGTTACTCACATTAGGATAGACATGTAGATCAATGGAATCCAATTTAAAGTCCAGAAATAAACCTGTACCTTTATGGTCAATTGATTTTTGACAAGTGTGCCAAGACAACTGAATGGGGGAAGGATAATCTTCCTGACTGATGGTGCTAAGATAACTGAATGTCCGCAAGTACAAGAATGAAGTTGGATCCCAATCTTACACCATACATAAAAAGTAACTCAAAATGGATCAGACACCCAATTGTAAAAACTTACTCAATAAAATTCTTAGAAGAAAACAAAGGAATGTGTTTGGGGTTAGGCAATGGCTTCTTAAATTCGACAATTCATATATCTAATAAGTGACATGTATACAGGATATATAAAGAACTCTTAAAACACAATAATATAAAATGGGGGAATAATATACATAGGAAATTCAAAGACGAGAAAATGCAATTTCCAAAAACATAAGATGGGTAAACTCAGCTTGGCAAAAATAAGAATAGGGTAAAAATATCTGAGACTAATGAGGATGTGAAGAAACGGTATATTGTTCTTCGGGTTGTTAATTATTACAATTCTTGGAGTATCCAGCAACATTTTAAACATATAAATCCATAAATCTCATATTTTGAAATCTTACCTAAAAGCAACACTAAAACTTTATATATATATATATATATATATATATATATATATATGCACACACAGAGAGAAATGTTTGTTATAGTATTGTTTTTAAGTGCAAAACCCTGGAACCATTCTGGTTGGCCATTATTTGAATAAGATTTACTCACTTCACAAGTGTTATGGCATATATACACTACAGAATATTATGTATCTATTAAAAAGAATAAATTAGGTCTATATGTACTAACTTGGGGTGATGTTCATGATAGAATCTTTAGGGAAAAAGTCAGTTGTAGAATAGAGTGTGCAGTGTGATTCTATCTTTATAAAAAGAAATGTATGTATGGTGTTTATTGACTTTCTCCTCCTACTAGGATATGCATTTGATGAGGGAAAGGATTTTTGCTTATTTAGGTTATTGCTATATCACCTGTGCCTAAAACAGTGTCAGATACATAATATGTGCTTAATTTGTTTTTATTCAATGAATGAACAATTGCTTGTCTATTTTTGTAGAAGCAAGGAGAACAGGGTGGAAGGTCCATACCAGGCTATTAATTTCAGTTACCTATGGGGAAAAGGATTATTGAAAAGTAGGGGGAGAGATCATTAACATTATATATATATATATATATATATATATATATATATATATATCTCACTTCTTAATAATTAATATATTCATTTTATAGTGAAAAATGTTAAAAAGATAATGTTAAAGGGAGAAAAAGAAGACAAGCTATGAATGCCATTACATAGAGAAACACACACAACTCTTTTGTCATATACACTGCTGGATAAAGAAGAGACAAAGAAGTAACTCCAGACTGGGCTGTTTGAGGGTGGGAAAAGACAAAACTATAGGTTACATGGCTGGGTGGTGTGGGGACCTTTTTTTTATATTCAATTAAGGACTGGATGCTGACCACTTTATCCATCTAAAGATATGTATAAATTTTAAAATTGCTCTTCTTATTGTCAAATATGAATGTATTCACTACTTCGTGTCTGGAACTATTTCCATACCAATGAGTAAACAATAAGTAGTTGTCTTCACCCTCGTGGCTCTTAGTCACTTTGGTTGGTTCTATTTGGTCACCAGTACCCATGTTCAGAATTCCCCTTAGAGTATACACACCTTTGATGAAGAGGTCTTAGGCATGTTGCCTTTGTTACTTGGTACTGGAAAAATCGAAGGGTTGTACAAAAACCAACCTTGATGTAAGCACCTCGATTACTGCCTTCTTCATAATAATTAGAAGCAGAAAATACCGTAATAACCTAATTAAAGAATAAGAGGATCAGGTTTACATAAAGGTAGTTCTCAAAATATCCTTCAATAAAGTCAGAAATAGCTCAAGTCTTAAAAAAGCAAAAATTAAACAAAGTTCAGAATCCATACAAATCATTCATGTCTGTCAAGATTTCCCGTGATTCCATTGGAGAGAAACAAGGCTTTTAAATCAGTGTCCCCAGGAGTACTGATTTTTAGCCTTCATCCACACAGGGTATGGCCTTGCAATCTTGAGTATAATCTCAGCTTCAATCTTAAAATCCTCCTTAATGCTCTGTTTTGTAAATTCTAAATTTTCCAAGGGGGTAAAGCCTTTATTTTCTTTTCTTGTGATATTTGAGCATTCAAAATAAAACTTGTCTAGTATCAGTCTTTTGCTTTTGCTTGGAACTGACTGATTTGGAGGGCCCAAGGCACTCCACAAAACCAGTGCTTTAAGGGCATAGAAATAGTGGCTAAAATAAGGGACCACGACCACTCAGTTGGCCTTGGGGCTGTAGTGGAGGATGGATGGTAACATCTTTCAGTGACCAAAAACCTTGCTTAGATCAAGTCCTATCCTAATAAGTCACTGCTATTTTCTCTCCATTTTCTTATTACCAACAATCCTATATAATAAAAGGGTAATATGCAAATTGACCCTAACAGCAGAATGACTGGGAATGACAGGTCGCTGTAATGTGCACTGACCACCAGGGGGCAGACGCTCAATGCAGGAGCTGCCCCCTGGTGGTCAGTGCGCTCCCACAGGGGGAGCTCCGCTCAGCCACAAACTGGGCTGATGGCTCCAAGTGTAGTGGTGGTAGCAGGAGCCTCTCCCACTCCCTTGGTAGCGCTAAGGGTGTCCAACTGCGGCTTAGGCCTGCTCCCCACAGGACATCCCCCAAGGGCTCCTGGGCTGCCAGAGGGATGTCTGACTGTCAGCTTAGGGAGCAGGCCTAAGCCGGCAAGTGGACATCCCCCAAGGGGTCCCAGACTGCGAGAGGGTGCAGGCAGGGCTGAGGGACTCCTCTGAGTGCACACATTTTTGTGCACTGGGCCTCTAGTCTCCAAATAATACTTGCCTTAACCACCTCACAATTGTTATTCAGAGCCTGAAATGTAGTAATATAGTTAAGAAAAGCAAAAGTGTTGAAATAGAAGGAAATGACATGCAAATTTATATTCTTTTTGTATTCATTGCTGTTCAGTATTAGAAAAAGGAGTATCCCAGGACAAATTGGGACAAGAAACCAGTTCCTCAGTCCTCACCTCTTCTAGCCTTATCACACACCACTGCAGGAGCACAATATACTCCATTTTAGTGGCTACAGCTTAACTAACTACAGTGAATGACTTCCTAGAGATCACCTTCTCAAGTAAGTGGAGGGGAAGTGTATTTTGTTGCTCTGCCCTGCACCAGGAACATGCAAAGGTGAAAGAGCAAACTGGATTCATGGCTGCCATTTAAGTGCTCAATGAGGATAAGTACATTCTCAACCCCACCTTACTGGAGATTTGCCTTGCGATCAGTAAAAGCCTTTCTCTGTTTGTACTTAGTGTTGCATGTCAGTTTCTGTCTTTGGGATTAGGGAAGATGATGGAATTAAACCAAATATCCCTTAGGGTGAAGGACAGAGAGGCCCCGTCCAACAATGTATGTAAACCCTACAGCAGTGATGGCGAACCTATGACACGCATGTCAGAGGTGACACGCGAACTCATTTTTTGGTTGATTTTTCTTTGTTAAAGGGCATTTAAATATATAAAATAAATATCAAAAATATAAATTTTTGTTTTACTATGGTTGCAAATATCAAAAAATTTCTACATGTGACACAGCACCAGAGTTAAGTTAGGGTTTTTCAAAATGCTGACACGCTGAGCTCAAAAGGTTCGCCATCACTGCCCTACAGTCTGCTGTTTCTGTCTACCAAAGCATGGCCTTCTCTCTAGGTACCAGGGAAGACATCTTTCCATGGGCCTTTAGGTGAGACATATCCTGTGAAGAAAGACTGTGCTTAGGGGAAGGATGTCTGTGATGGTGTCACCAACAATGTTAGCTTACCTTCCCATCATGGCATATTTCATACCCTTCAGGCTTACATTCGTGAGACCTAATGAGCAGCTTCAAACGGTTTTTATTAAGAAACTTCGAGGTAACATCTGGCCCAAAATAGCAGCCCCCTCCTCGACATGTGTTTGGATAACAGCCTCGTTTCCCTCTAGGATCACTCCACAGAATATCGATAACCTTAAAACAACAAACCAGATTAGGCTGCTATTTACAAGGGAGAGTTTATCTTTCTAGATTCCAAATTCTTTTCCAGAAATATTTACCCACATTATCCCAAAGTCTTACTATTTCTCATTCTTCCTTCAAAATTGTTTCATATTTTTATCCTTCATGAACCTCTTCGAGAATAGTTTTAATTTTATAGCCACCAAAATCCCTTTCTGCTCATCCCCAATAACCAATGTTGCAATAATAGTAACTGATGTAGAAATATTTAGTAATCATGAAGAATCAGCCCTTGGCTTTTTTTTTAATCCATCACAAATGTTTCACAATTGCTGAACCTACAAAAGTCTTTTCTCTTGAAAGAACTTAATTGTCATGTTCAAAGGAGATAGCCATTTCCCCACAATGAACACACATTAGGTATTCTTAATATGGCCAAAGAGATAAGGTAGGTCTCTCAGTTGTGGCTTTGGCCCTGGTGTTTGTACTGTTGAGTACATAAGGTGAGGAAGCCTTTTTCCTATCACAAATATAGACAACTGCTTATCCAAGAATACCTCCTAAAGCATCTCTTTTGACTTTATGCCCTCTTGATAAGTACATCTCAGTTTCAACAATACATTTAGCCACTGGTTGGTTTCCACAATGTGTTCTACTAAACCCACAAGTATTTTGTTAGCATAACATTTTCTTTTGGGGCTGAAATAAGCAAAAGCAGTCTACATGATGTCCAGGACAAAAGACCCAAGTTTCTAAGAATATTTTAATAGAAATTTGGGGGCTTCCTGTTTGTGGCTGTAATCTATGTATAATGTTTCTTTATTCAAATGTCTCCTACAGGAGCTTAAACAGTAGTGAAAAAAACTAATTTTGTCACTAAATATGTATAACCTTGAGAAAACTCTCTGGATCTCAGTTTCTAGATCTTTCAAATCAGAGGTTTGGGCCATAAGACTTGTAAAGTATCTCAAAGTTCTAACAAACCATGATTCTAAGAGTCTATATTTTCCACGTGCTTCTTTTGAGGGAATGAGGAAGCATGCATTTTAAGTTGTACAGTTACTCTCGTGCAGTGGTTCTCAACCTTCCTAATGCCGCGACCCTTTAATACAGTTCCTCATGTTTTGGTGAGCCCCCAATTTCATTGTTACAAATTGGACATAATTAAAGCATAGTGATTAATCACAAAAACAATACGTAATTATATATGTGTTTTCCGATGGTCTTAGGCGACTCCTGTGAAAGGGTTGTTTGACCTCCAAAGGGGTCACGACCCACAGGCTGAGAACCGCTGCTCTAGTGGGTCTTAAGAAGAGGGCCAGAAGTGGCTGTCCCACTAAACATGATAGTACAGCTATTTATAGGTTTGGCATTGAAGGAGGGCTAGGTATAAGTAATGGAAAAGACAGTGAGATGGAGAAAAGAACAGAACTGGCTGGGTAACTGCTCTGGGATGACAGGCACCAGGTCAGAACTGGAGAAACACTGCACCAGACACATTTCAGACACTTGTAGAGTTTTTGATGATTGATTAAAGTGAGAATTAAAACCACCTAAAGATGATTCTCCTTTCTTCCCTACTAAATTCAATCACTAGAACAACCCTACCCTACAAATAAATAAAATGGAACCCATTTACTTTGCTGGTGTTTATGATAAAAATAACACTTGCATTTTAAACTGAAAGATATCTTGCTCCTATACCATAAATTCATGTTTGGAGGATGACTTGGCATCCTATATAATAAAGAGGTAATATGCAAAATGACCCTCATGCCCTCACATCACAAGATGGCTGCCCCCACGTTGTCACAAGATGGCCACCCCATGTCATCACAAGATGGCCACCCCCATGTTGTCACAAGATGGCTGTCCCCATGCCATCACAGATGAGCGCCCCCATGTCGTCACAAGATGGCCACCCCACATCATCACAAGATGGCCACCACAAGATGGCCGCCCCACGCTGTCACAAAATGACCACCTCCACATTCTCACAAGATGGCCAGCAGGGGAGGGCAGTTGGGGGTGATCAAGCCGGCAGGAGAGCAGTTAGGTGTCAATCAGGCTGGCAGGGGTGCAACTAGGGGCAATCAGGCAGCCAGGCAGGTGAGCGGTTAGGAGCCAGCAGTCCCAGATTGTGAAAGGGATGTCCTACTGCTGGATATATTTTATTGATTTTTTACAGAGAGGAAGAGAGAGGGATAGAGAGTTAGAAACATCGATGAGAGAGAAACATCGGTCAGCTGCCTCCTGCACACCCCCTACTGGGGATGTGCCCACAACCAAGGTACATGCCCTTGACCGGAATCAAACCTGGGACCCTTCAATCCACAGGCTGATGCTCTATCCATTGAGCCAAACCAGTTAGGGACAGACTGCTGGTTTTAAACTGGTAGATGGACATCCTCTCAGGGGTCCCAGATTGAAGAGAGTGCAGGCTGGGCTGAGGGACACCCCCCCGCCCAGTGCATGGATTTCGTGCACTGGGCCTCTAGTTTAGTATAATAAAGGAGAAAATATGGAACACAAGGAGTTGTGTTTTATAAAGAGAGGACAGAGCGTCGGCCTGCAGACTGAAAGGTCCCAGGTTCAATTCTGATCAAGGGTATGTGCCTTGGTTGCGGGCACATCCCCAGTGGGGAGTGTGCAGGAGG